TTAGGGCTGGTCTGATAATGAATACGAGCCTCTTCTGTGTTTCTCTCATTCCATCCCTAAAGTTTGTTTTTTTTTGATCGTTTCGGGATAGGCTTGAGCGATAGCTTAGGCCACACTGGGTTATTGCGTTATTCTAGACAGAAAGTGATGCATTATAAAATCAGGCAACAACAGCTAGTAGTGGATGAAAGCATCTCAAGCCAGTTCACCAGGGCGATCATAAGGATGATTTTTAGGTGTTTTTGCGTGTATGCAAATGCAAAAACGCATATTGGCAAGAGGCTGTGTATGTGTGCCTGTGTGTTCGCATTTTTGTCACCCAATTTCAACTCAAGAACCAGAAATGCCAGAAGATTGAAACTCCAGGAGTATGTGCCTACCACTTGTGTTACCTCCCCTTTGATATCATCACTCGCACGCGCCTAGGTGCCGCGTAAGCACGTCTTAAAAAATAGGCAAACTTTTTTAGTAGGAAAACGATCTTGGGAATTAGAAAGGCTAGAGAGCTGAAACTTTGCAGGGATATGCTCTGTGTATGCGTGAGCTAAAGATTTCAAATTCAGCCCCTAAGTGTGCACACTTCTTAAGTACAAGTACGTAGAAGTTTCGGCAGGAAAACTGCTAACTCGGTAACCAGAAAAGTTGGAAAGCTGAAATTTTGGGAGAATATTCCCTATCTAAGTACAACTTAAAGACTTCAAAATCAGTCCACCGGTACGCGTGGTACTCGCGTACGGGCATTTGAAGTTTTTGACGAGACAAATACTAACTTGAGAAACAGAAAAGCTGGGAACGTGAAATTTTTGAGAGTTATTCCCTGTTCAAGTACAAGATAAATATTTTAAACTCAGCCTCCAGGTATGCATGGTTCTTACGTACGGTCACTCAAAATTTTTGGCGGAAAAAAAAAGTTGCTCACTGAACAGCTAGACCATTTTCAAAGAATGACTGCTGAACGGAAGTTGTTCATTTCCTTATGCAAAATTTACGACGACTGACATTAGTGAGCACAAAAGTTAGATGCAATACAACAACCATTCATACCATCAGCGACCTGATTACTCCAGGTCCGATGCAAAAACATATGACCGCACCGGCAAACCTGGTGCATTCCAGACTGGGTTAGAGACAGGACTAGTAACATTGTTGAAGACAAAGGGGAAAGTCGGGCTAGCCGTGCTAGCTCGAATTCTTAGGCTTGGGCTCTTTCTTCCAGCTCTGACACTACTTTGCATTCATGTTTTTATGCAGTCCTTTGTCCTGCTAAAGAATGAACTTATGAAGTCCCGTGAAGGCTACGATTCTAGAAAAATATCCACATTTTCAAACAGCACATATTTTTAGGATACCACACGGGCAGTGGATGAGCAGCAGCCGACGAAGCACGCAGCCACTGCGAACGTCAGTTCCAGACCAAATGACGATGCACAAGCTTCCACTCTCTCAGCCCCAACAACGTCATTAAGCACAGGCGATCAAGCCGATGCTGTGAAATGGCGAACCGGTTATATCACGCCACCGGATCTTCAAGAACAACAATATAATCCGGTACCTCCGCCACGCACACGTTCAAAGCGCGGCAGCTTTGGCCGCTTATCTGCACAGCATCCACAAGTAGTGGTACAGCGTAGCACATCAATGTATGTTACGAATAGTAATGAACTGATCAGCACTTCACTCGAAAACGACGTCAGTGGCGAAGCTGGTGAAGACATGAAGCGATGGTCTTCAGCATCTACACCCGAAACAGAGCATGCTGTCTATGAGAGACCCAAAGCTTCATTGATACCACCAAAGCCAGCCCCGCGCCGCATCGATTATCTGAACAAGTTGCCATCGCGCAATAAAACTCCTTCCGAAAATTGCAAGGTCTCATGTTTCTCAATGTATTATTTTCATTCTGTATCTGCAGCATTTCTTTTAGTATTAGGTATAACCGACAAATGCACTGAGATTTTACATGCGTCGTGTAACCACAATTATTTTTGAAGCTTCGACAGTTTTAGAAGCTTAATGAGGAAACTTTTTAAATTTTTGTGCTTAGAAATGATTACCAGACTTAATTCCAAGACCCGGGCCAACAAAAAGAGTTCTAAAGTCCCATTTTTTTCGAACCAAAATTGAAAATTTATCTCGAATGGCTTAAAAAGATTAAGGCACAGCATTAAGGCTATGCTGGAATAAACCTGAAATCGCTGGACAATACAAAGAGTTCCTTTGGGGATTTATCATGATTAACCCAGTCTGAAACACACCGGCAGGACCGTGCGATCATGCGTTTTGCACCGGACTTGAAGTACTCAACTAATCAACTGTGTGAATGGTTGTTGCTTCACACCTACCTTTTGCGGTCACTAGCATAAATGACCATAAATTTTGCATAAAGTAAATGTAAAATTTCCATTTAACGACCGTTCTTTAAAAATAACCTAGTTGTTCAGTTAGAAATTCAGCCTAAATTTTTAGGGCTCGTACATAAGAACCACGCATATTTCAAAGCTGAATTTGAAATATTTGAGTTGTACTTGGACAGAGGACACTACCCTAAAATTTTAGCCTTCCAGCTTTTCTGGTTGCCGTGCTAGCAATTTTCCTGCCGAAAACTTTCATACGCCCTTATGTGAGTATCACGCATGGCTTGGGTCTGAATATTTGAGTTGGACTTAGGTAGGGAACATTCTCCCAAAATTTCAGTTTTCTAGCTTTCCAGGTTTCCGAGTTAGCAATTTTCCCGCTTAAACCTTCATACGCCCTTACGTGAGTACCACGCATACCTGGGGGCTAAATTTGAAATCTTTAGCTAGCACATGCAAAAGGAATGTTCGTACAACTTTTCAGCCCCTTAGCTCGTGTGGTTCCCGAGATCGCTTTCCCGTCAAAAAATTTGCTTATTTTTTTGAAGCACCCATACGCGGCACTCAGGCATTCGCGGGGGATAAAATTAAAACGGAAGAGTCGCGTATGGTATGAGCATATATTTCCAAAGTTTCAGCTTTCTAGGTTTTCTGGTTCTCGAGCTGAAAGTGAGTGACAAAAAGTGCGAACACACAGAACACACACACGCACACACAGCCTCTTCCCAATATGCTTTTTTCAATTTGCGTATATGCAAAAACGCATAAAAATCGCTGTTTGTTATTTTAGTAGTTATCGCACGGTTTGCACCAATTATTTCTTGATCCAATATTCCAGACCGTGCCTCTTCCACTACGAGATTTTTACCGATTTGTGGAGATGATTTTAGAAAAATTTCACATCACCAATAGCACGTGGTGCAGCAGCAGGTCCTGAAAAGTAGTGAGTTCGGAAAAAACAGGACGTGTGTAACTGAGCGATTTCCAAAGAGGCGGTAAGCGCATGAGACTTCAGAATCGAAGGCTGAAATCTGGAATCCAGGAATTGACTGCAGTGTTACGAGAATGTCAATGCTGACTTCCATGTGTCCATATATTAGGTGTATGGCTACGCATCGGTTGCTCTGTGAGCTTCACACTGGCATGTTGTACAGCCTTATGTGTAGCAAATAAGGACTGCAACGATAATGGAACACATGACTAGCTATGCTTCCTTTTCTTCCAAACTTAGGTTCGTCTTCTGCTATTTCAGACTGCTGCGAAGCCAATGAAACGGCCAGTGCCATTACCGCGACAGAGCAAACTCAAGGTAGGCATCTGATACCCTTGCGACATCGTCTAGAAACATCGTTTTGTCACTTGTCTAGTGAATTTCCGTGTTGCCTCCATTTGTAAAAGATTTTACCAGAGCTCCGTTTCTAGCACTGTTTTTTGCCTCCGAAATCATTCTGAGGAAATTATTTTTCCAACTTTTCACGTTTACCTGCATGTTTTGTAGGTGGCTGTGGATGAAGATTCGTTGGTGAAAACTTCTCTCGGTGGAGCGAAGGCGCAGCTTGGCGCTAGCAGTGGCCTAGAATCTCTGGTAAATTTTGTCCACTAAAATTCAAGCAATTTAAAAGTGAAAAATGATAAAGCCATGGTGAAGGAAAGCTCGGACGTCTAGTACTTTAAGTTGTCGCGGGCCGATCCTTGTTTTGCATAATTATAGAGCAGGAAATGTTCGAATTCTACATTTACTATCCTCAGGTTTGCCGATTTGCAGTGTATTATTACGTTACCGACCCACATGCTCCATACCCAGCAAATGCAGTATTCGAGTATTAGCAAGCGTAGTAGTCACATACACTCTAATAAGTGTGCTCTTACTGTTCTAAGCAGCGTAGCAAAAGTTGAGTTACCTTTCTAATTTTTCTTGGGTAAACCAGCCCAGAGGCGAAAAGTGATATAATTTTCTTTTCCACGGCAGCCACAGTGTTGCCCAAAACTTTGCTACTTTGTGGGAGGTGATAACATTTTTTTTGAATTTAACCTAGTTCCACTGAATTTTTCTCTATTTAAGACACCTGTTTCTGTAGATGACAATCGCAAAAACAACAAGCAGTGTGGAAGAGGGAATGGACGAGAGTAACGAATGGACGTTACGACTATAGGCATTATGCTTAACAAATTGGAAACACAGTAATTTTCCGGATTTAGTACTCGCGCTTGTGTAAAATACCTTTGTGCCTTACCTAGTTTTTTTTACACCAACGTCTTTCTAGCTTACTTCTGGCATTTCAGTTCATCTTTTCTGCCCGCGTCAGGAACTTTAGCAAATTTAGAAGCTTAAAAGAGTGCT